ATGTTGGGATTCCATTGCGTTCCTGAGCTCCTCTCTAGATTTATTAATCATGTCTTGCACTATGAGCACAATCTCTGCTATTATCTGAGAAATTATTTCTGATTTCATTTTTTCCAGATCCTCTTTTCTTACCAGTTCAGGAAGTCCAGGTCATTGAATATCAGAGTGTTCCATCTCATTTCCCTTTGGGATTGCTGTAGGTGATCTGGAAGTCTGGTTTTGAGCCTTATTTACGTGTCATCTCATTTCGACAGGGGGGCTAGGGTGGGGGGGTGCTGCTGGTGCCCTCGCAATTCACCTCCTGTGTGCTGGCGGGGGTGGTACGGTGGCCCAGAAGCCTCCTCTTGTGCGCTGGGAGTGGCTCACCTCCTGTGTGCTGGCAGAGGTCTTCTTGGCTTGACTTTTAAGATATGGATGAACACTAAAGGAATTTGGAAAATATTCTTCACAGGACCATGGTGTTCTTGTGCTGCAGGTTTCCATTTTTGAGTATGAGAAACATACATATTAATCTCTTTTTGCATTTCTTATGTAAAATTCTAATATACCCATGGCAGATAGTTATCTTGGGTGGACTAGGCATGAAGGTAATGAGCTCAGGAAGAAGAGAAAAATCATTTGTAAGTTTTAGACTTTTATCCCTGTTATGCTAATTTATAACACAAAGAATGAAAAAAAAACTGTTTAGTTAGTAAATCCTAATTTTTGCAGTTTTTTTTGCCTCAGTGAAAGCTAAAATTATATTGTTTTCAAATAGCCTCAACCTTCATCTACTCATTTTCTCTATTTTTGCAACTAGGAATGTATTTTTTTTTGGTCTTTTTTGGTACTGGGGATCGAACTTTGGTCCTTGCGCTTGCACAGCAGGTGGCGAAACCACTGAGCTAAATCCCCAGCCCTGCAACCAGGAATGTAAATGTTAAGAAAATCATTCTTGGGCTGGGGCTATAACTCATTGACAGAATGTGCACTCAGTAAGTGTACTGCCCCAAATTCAAGCCCCAGCACTGAGGGAAAAGAAAAGAAAGGAAAGGAAAGAAAAGGAAACACATTATCATCTGCATATTTAAGGATAGCCAGGTAATAATATGGATAAAGAGTTAAAAAAATTTTTTTTCTATAGGAACTACAATTAAAAACAGGACAGGAAGAAGGTCTGAAACTGAAGGCTGAGGACCTTGATACATTTACCTTGAAAACACAGAAAAGACCTTTTGGAAGTAAAAACCAACTCCAGGTTTGTCGATTCTGTTTAGTGTTTCTGGTTTTTCTCCAATTTTGAAGGTTGTCTAAGTAGAGGTATAAAGTGGTAAACTCTGAATAAAATCTTCAAACACTGTTTTCCACTTGTGTGCTACATTTCTAGTATTTCTTCTGAAACATCTGCTATTAAAATATTTCTTATCCAGAAATGTGCTGTATTTTTATTTTAGTAGAAATGAGCTTCCTTTAATGTTGTAGAATGTAAATCTATGTTCCCACTAAAGTCTGGTTTATTCCCATGGAGATAGGTATATTTCTGAAAATCAGAAGTCTATATTCAAATAGTACCAAATTGTATGTGTAATACAGTGATGGCGAGCCCTTTAGAGACCGAGTGTCAAACAGCAACCCAAAACCCAATTATTCATTGCAAATTGCCAACACTGCAATTAAACCTGAATGCTGAAAGTTTAGCTCAGAAAAAACAACTCTACATTAACATCCTTTGTCATAAAAGAAAAACACAATAACATGTGTGCCATAGGTTTGCCACCACTGATATAATATACAGTGGCACCTTGGTTCATGAATTTGATTTGTTCTGCAATTCTGGGGAAGATGCCTCAGTTGTGTTTGTCACCCAGTGTAGAGTTGGCGAATGGAAGCAAAATTTTGCCAAACACTTCTTCTGTTCATGAACTGAATTTTTCACCAACAGAATCATTCATGAACCAAAGTAATACTGTATTAAAGAGCTATTAGCACGTTTAAAAATATTTATTATTTTAAAAATAAGTCACAGGGCCAGAGATTTAGCTCAGTGGTGTTGCCTCCTGCCTAGCAAGCACAAGGTCCTGAGTTCAATCCCCAATATTAAAAAAAAAAATGGCTAAAAATAAGTCATAATTTATAAACTAATTTCAAGATTCAAAGAAATTGAAAATTTTATTTTATCAAAAATATACTTAGAATTGCCATTACACTTAAAATACATTCATCTTAATTTTCCCTTATTTAATCTAATTTAATTTATTTTTAGTGCTAGATTCTAATCTCAGGGCCTTTGCATTGAGGTACATACTCAGTCCTTTCTCGTTTTTTATTTTGAGGTGAGTTCTCATTGTATCATTGAGTTGCCCAGGGTAGGATAGAACTTGTGATTCTCCTGCCTCAGCCTCCCAGAGTTCGGAGATTACAAGCATGTACCACCACATCCAGTTTGGGTGTCCATAATGAGAATACTAAGATACTTATGTGGAGTATCTTTCCAGCTCTTTTATTTATTAATATTTGAAGGTGACAAGGCCTAGGGTAGATTGGTTTTCCTTCCATGCTCTATCATCTATGTGTTTCCTCATGTGTATTAATTTTTTCATTCCATTTACTAATTGATTGAATAAGGTAACTTATTTACTTATTCCTTTTATATTTTATTGAGTGCCAACTATGGGTTAGGTAACACACCAGGTGTGATGGTTAGAGGGGTGAGAAGAACAGCTCCTACAGTCAGTCCAGAAGCACAGGGCTGGAGAAGACGGGCAAGTTGAGGGACCAGCACCTTGAAGTCTTTTGCGGAAGGCACATACCTCTCTGGTGAGGAAGAGCCCAGCATGTTCTCAGTACAGTATTCATAAAGAAAATCGCCAGCCTTTGTCAGGCCCAAACATATTCACCAAACAAGAGTACGAGTCACTGTCACTGTTTAAATGTTCATTTCAGTCCTCTGTCCATCTAAAATTGTATTGCTACCATATAATTTTTCTGGCAGAAAAAATGGTAACACTTCTTTGGCATTTTAATGTAGAAATTGGATGAGCAAAAGAAATGGTTGGATGAAGAAGTAGAGAAAGTTCTGAACCAACGCCAAGCATTAGAGGAGCTGGAAGAAGACTTAAAGAAACGGGAGGCCATACTTTCTAAGAAGGAGGCCCTGCTACAAGAAAAGAGCCAGCTGGAAAGTAAGAAGTTGAGATCTAGTCAGGTATTCTTTCTAATTTGCTATTTAATTCTGGTCTTAGGATTTTTTTTCTTGCAAGAAGTAAACCATATCATTGTTAGAAACCAAAAGAGAATTATGCTTTTTTGGGTTTTCTTTGGTACCAGGGATCTAGTGGCAACACACCTGCCTTGCAACTGCAAGGTCCTGAGTTCAATCCCCAGCACCAAAAATAAATAAAATAAAAATAAAAATAAAAATAAAAATAAAAATAAAAATGAGGCTGGCTTGACCAGACTTGAAGATTTTGTGCCTGATACCTTCTTCTTCACCAGCCTTGGGCCCAGGGTCAGTCAGCACATTGAGTTATAGAATAGAGGACCGTGACCTACTGATCTATTAGACTTGCATTTCAGTCAACATCTAGACCAGTAGGATTGGAGTTGATGGTGGTGTGTTCTCAGCCTCTCCACGCTGACATAACAAGTACACAGTGATGGTGATTTATACTTACCTCTGCTCCATTTGAGTTCACACTGAAATAGCTTTTCACAGCCAGCCACTGGACACAGGGTTTGGCGGTGGCTCCTTTACCAGCCTAGCTGCTGGTGTTACACCCAGGTATGTAACTTGCTAAAACATGCTGTCAGGGTCAAATTGTAAAATACATTCCTCAGAACATGTAAATAATAACCAAAGATCAACAACTTAAATATCAATTGAGGAAAAGTTATGTTAAGAACATGTTATGGTATGTTCTGTATAAGAAAAGAAGAGGAAGGAAACAAATGGAATCCATAAAACAGATACAAACAGATTTCCAGGAGATTAAAAACTCCATTGAAAGTCTACACACCAGAATGAGCCAATGTGAGGACAGAATTTCTTAGGTGATAAGTTTTTAATTACATTTTCAATTTCATTGGTTGATATTGATATTGGGCTGTTCAGAATTTTTAGGTCTTCTT